AGCTTTACTCTTACCTTCATATATACTCTCTAATTAGAAGCTAAGTGGCAATAATCTATAGGACCTCAAATATGTATTGACTTTGTTAGATACATATCTTAACTTGCAAAATAAGTCATTTGTATATGCATCACATAGTTAGCTTGTTCCACAAGCTACTAACATGTGTAGTACTTGGTTAACTTGTTGACTAAGTTTTTAACCTATCAATCAACTACAAATTTTCTTGAAGTCAAAGTATTTTCATCTTTAAATAATAAAATCAATATTGATTGTTGATTCAACTTAATTCAAGTAAGTTCAATTAAGTATGTCCTTTGATCTTCTTATTCATGATATTAAGAATAATTCTTTTAAGTCTTATAATTCTTCTAAATTTAAGTTTAAAAATAATCTAATTTATTTCAAGAGATGATTATATATTCTAGAAGGCAAAGCACAATTACATGTTTTTCAAGCTTGTCACAATTTTTTAATAGCTAGACATTTTGGATACAATAAAACTTTGGAACTAATATCTAAAAAAATTTGGTGGCATCAAATGTGAAAAATAATTTTAAAAATTTATATAATCATATAACATTTGGTTGAGATCAAAAACTCCTTGTCATTGACCTTATAGACTTCTTCAGCCATTATTTATTCTAAAACAATCATAGTTATTTATTTCTACAAATTTTATCACAAATCTTTTTCTCTCAAGTTTGTATGATTTTATATTCATAATATTAGATTGTTTTATAAAGATGGCACATTTTGTACTATGTACAAAATCTATCACAAATAAAAAAAATAGCTAAGCTTTTTTTTGACAAAATCTATTGCTATCATAAATTCTCCAAGGATATTATTTTGAATATGGAACTCAATTTGTATCAAGTTTTTAGAGAATTCTTTTCAAAATTCTATATGTAGATATAAAGCTATCTTTGACTATTCATCTTTAAATTGATAGACAAATAGAGCATGTAAATTAAGTTTTGGAGCAATATTTAAATTGTACTATTAACTACCAATGAGATGAGTAGACAAATCTTTTGCCATTGATAAAGTTTGCTTATAATAACATGGTATATTTTTTACTAATTATAATTATCATCCATGACTTCATGCTTTTGACTTTTGAAAACATGTCAACACATATTGGAGGTCCTATAAAACATTGTCATATAGCTCTTAGCTAGATAATATATATAGAAGTAAGAGTAAAGCCTTCTTTACTCTTAGCAATGGTTTTCTAGTCCTTAGTCATATTTCAAGACTTTCTAATCTTCTTATCTTTAGCAATAGCTATTCTAATTCAATAGATTAATATCTTTGAGTTACTTTCTAATATTTTTGAGAGATAGAAGAAGTTATTGAGTTTTTATTCTCTAAGATTCATGTTCTTGACAACAATACAAATTTATTATTTAATTATATTAAATTTTTCTATCTTATCATTTTTATTTTATTTTTATATATTCTAAAAATAATTTATTTTTTTATTGAAACTCAATTGCTTATGGTAATTTTTTAAAGCTATTCAAACCTACTCATAGATGGCATTGATGGTTGTAATTATCAATGTATGTTTCTTTTATGTATATGAATTCTTTTCTTTTTTTTCTTTTTTTTTTTTACAAATAGATAATTAATGCTCAAAACCTTCAAAATATTATATTTTACATCACTCTTTAGTTCTATTCATTTTTTTTTCACATTGCAGATTTTTTTTTCTTTACTTCAACTAATCCAAAATTTTATACAATAATGACTTTTATAGAACCGTCAAACTTAGAAAATCAATATCAACTCTTTGTATATATAGGCTTTTTTTATATTATTTACCACATTTTATCTTCAATGTCAAATTAAATTAAATATTAAAAATAAATAAATAAATAAATAAATCTTTCTTGAAAAATCTCTTATACACTACTACAATTGCTTAAATATCTCAAATAATGAACAAACTAATATTTAATGTATTTTTCTTATTTAATTAAAAAAATCATCACAAAATTATTTTAAAACTAAATTCAATTATAAACCATAATTAACTCAATTCTATACATTCATACTGATTCTTAGTTTCTTGGCTTTTAAAAAAATATATTCTTATAATTATTTAACAATTAAGTTATAAATATATTTTTTTCCAAAATTCTATATATAAAATACACAAAAAATCTAAATTTGGAGTATAATGTATACACATAAATCAAGTCTTAGATTTATAAAGTCCTAAGTATAAAATAATATTTATTTCTATTATATGAAAACATATAGATATATATATATATATATATATATATAAGCTTTTAAAATTAAAAAATTAAAAAAATAAATAAAAGCAAAGAAAAACAAAATAAAACAAAAAAAATCTAAAAACAAATTCTTAGATATAATATTCAATTGTCTTTTTAAATCTAATATTAACTATTGATATTTTCAAAAAAAATTAGTTATTATTCTAAAATCTCCTAATTAATATTATAAAGTACTCGATTTGATGCTTTAAAATCTTCTAATAGATGCTTTAAAAACTTTGAATTGATGGTCTAAAATTTCTTAATTAATACCTAAATAAGATTTTTTTTTACATTATAATATCTAGAATTTTTCCTCTTAAACTACTTTCATATTAATGCATTAAAATTAATCCACTTAATCTTCTTATTATATATTTTAATTTCTTTTTGAAATAATGATTTGTATTTATACTAAATACTTGTAATATTTTTAATTTAACTTTTAAATAATATCACTTAATATATTAGATTAAATATATAATTTTTTGAATTTTTTATAAAAAATAATTGTACTATAATAACATTATTCTAAGAATTATTATTTGGAGGCACATTATATTTTTCCTTATTTTAAATTTGGTGATCATTATTTTTTTTTTCTTAGAATTGGTTAATTTCTTTGTTGGTTTATATATAATATTATGTAATATATAATATTTATAGATTTATTTAAATTATATAAATATAATATCTTTTAAAAAGTAATAATGAAATCTTTTAAATTTGCATTAACTGTGCAATTCTAACTATTTCTACATATTATTTGATATGATACAATGAACTACTTTTTATTAATGTAATTTATCTATAAAAGAAAAAATGATAAATAAGATTATTTTATCATAATATTCATATTGCTATTTTGCTATTAATTTATAAATAAAAAATAAAAAATAAAAGAAATAACTTGATTTACAATAGAAAATAAATCACTTTTGATCAAAAAAATAAAAATCAAATATATAATTTTTATTTCTAATAATTACTTTTATTTAGTTTTTAAATATTCATTATATTTTTTATTTTTTCAAAATATACTATGGCTGAAACAAGATTGATCTATCTCAAGTGTCCATAATCCTTCTAAACCATAGCAATATAAAACCTCATCACAAAGTAGGACTAAAATGGACCATAACAAAACTAAACAGAACTTAAAGAGAATAGGATACAAAAGTCAAAACTAAGCAACCGAAATTAGAACAAAATAGGACAAAACTGGAAGAATTTTATTAAGAGAAAGGATCCAAACCATAATTGACCAAATGCCCAAAAAGACCTTGGCCAGTCCTATTTATACTTTGTTCTACTACCTTGGATTTTCTAAAATGTTCCTAGATGATGGACTTCACTTAGATAATCACCCTAAATTCCATCTGTAAGGTTCTATGGTGGACCCTACTTAAATAACTATCCTAAGATATTTTTAGAAGGTTCCACAATGGATCCTACATAGTCCACTAACCTAGCTCCAATTCTAGAAACTTCCATAACTCCTCAAACTTGGTTCCAATTAATGTATATCAAAATAATATTTTTATTGAATAAAGATAAATAAATGAATAAATAATACGTAAAAAGTATCAAATTTATATAAATAAGTTGTAGAAATTAAATAATAAGACTAATAATTATATTGAATGTATTTTGTAACAATATCAAAAATATCATTTGACAATGTCAAAAATATTGAAATTAAATTCAAAACTATTAGAATTAATAATATTGTCATAATTTCATTTAAGAATATCCATGCTTAGAACATCTCTTATAGTATACATAAGATAAATTGATAAAAAAAAATAAAAAAAAATAAAAAATCTTAAATCCATATTACAAAAGAAGCATTTGAGGAATAAAAGATTATATTGCTTTGTTGTAGGATAATATTCTCAATCAACTACACTTTGATATTTTATATTGTATTAAGAAACCCAACTCTATTATACCATAATAATATCTTTATTGAATATTTATATCTAATTTGATTTCAATGATGGAGTAAAAGTATATAAGTTGAAACAAAATTTACTATATTTAAAAAAAAAAAAAAAAAAAAAAAAAAAAAAAGTTTTTGTATATGTCACTATAGTGAAGTAATTTAGTACACCCTCCAATCACAACAACTTCAAATTTTAAAATAATTAATTTAATTAATGTTATTATACTTTAATATTTGACACAAGAATATATATATATATATATATATATATACCGTGTATATAGAGACTGAGGGGGTCTTGATACTTAGGAACAAGTCTAAAGGCCACAACCTTTAAATCCTTTGACTGGTTGAAGTTTAGAAGCTTCCTTTTATTGACTTTGTACTGAAAAATTTAATCCAAAAGTTCTAAGAAGAAAAGATGAAATAAGTATAATGTTTTTTTCAACATGGCATGAATAGAATTATCCCTCAAAATTTTTATTTCAAGAAATGACTTATACATAAAATATCAAGTAAATAGTAAAAAAGTACAAATTCAATCAAAGTGTAAAAACAACTATTAAAAATTTTAAAATTTGTATTCTTTTTCGCTTCATAGTAAAAACTAGCATTTTAAAACTTTTGACTTAAGCTTGGTTCGGTCAACTAGCATTTTTAAAATTCTGAATTTGACGTGTCACATGAGATTGTGGTTGTGGGAACTTTGCAACTGTAGATAGCCAACAATGCGGAGGGGAAGAGAGCGTTTTGAATTTGAGATCTCAGCTAAGAAACGTGGTAACAATTCCACCGAAGTGATGAAAGTTCGAACAAACCGCTCCACATAGACAAGCTGCAGTTGCTGCCAAAGGAGCGGATGCTGAGAATTGATACAAAGAATATCAGAATCGTACAAAATTGATACAAAGAATATCAGAAGCTAGACCTCGCCGGCTATGACCCCTCTCGAGGATTGTCTCTCGCATCCTCGGAATCATGTGCGTAGTCCTCTTAGATGCTCACCTCGCACTTTGCTTGCAACTAGTTCCACTGCAAACTACCTCACGGAGCGCAAGCAGCGAGACCAAGTCTGCAGTGATTACTGCCATGACGCCGACTCATCTTGGCCTCCGGAAATCCATAAAAAAAACCTCCTCAACTCTCCCCTCATATTACACAGTTTTCTAGATCTGCCAAACGGCTACGTACACTACCTGGTGAGGACTCGGTCTGAATCGCCACCGCAGCCGTTATACAGCTTTGGTCTGGCGTACAAGTGCAGCGACCCCGACTGTAGCGGTCTCCCCTAACATATCCACACGAGATGGTTGGAAGGAGCTGCTCTGGTTGGAGTAGCATGTTGGGTATCATCCACACTGTGCGATGCACCGTCTGAAATCTAGGCATCGAAGTAGGCGCACCCAGAAAAACGCCGCCAGCGCAATCGTCAACGTCCTGATCTCCGTTCTGGAAGAAGCTGGGCGCTGAACGCAGGTTGGTGGCAAAAATGTTGACACAGATGCAACGTTTAGTCGAACTGTGACCGTCCCCTGCAGCGTTGAAGAACGCTCTTGGAGAGATGAGCCAACAGTTCGGGCGGAAAGCCCTTATTTTATTCACCCAAATTGTGAAGATGATAAGCTGGACTCTTCCATGAAGCCGAGCGCCTCCATGGACACGTAGTCCTGGTTGCGGAATCGACTCAAGAAGTACACAACCCGGTACGCGTCATCGAAGTTGGACAGAGGACCGAGGGAGACTTGTACGCATTCGAACTCCGGAGCTCGCTCGAAGACGCTGATGTTTCTCACTCTGTCCTTCGCAGGTCCAAGAAGGTTCGCCACTCCAGGGTTGCTGAACGATCCCACCGCCAGTGTGATCTGGTTCTTAGCTGCTAGGCGCTGCACCAACGACGGCACAATCACCTCGCCCGTGCTATCGAGGACGTTGAACGAGATAATGTTGCCGCGGTCCTCTGCCATGTAGGGGCTATAAACATTCAGCAAACTCCAGTCATCAGGGTCGATGTGGCGAAGCCCCTTCAGATTCTGCACCATCCAGTTCGCGAGCGCTCTCACGCGAGTCTGGATCACGTCCAGCCCGATTGTTTGCAAATGTTGAAGACCCAAGTCGAGTCCGGCGAAGGAAAGCTTGGATAGGCTCTCGTCTTCGGCGACTATGTGGAAATTCTGCACTTTTGTGGATGACCCCTTCGCTGCAAGTGTTATGGCGTTTGAGTGCGATGCATGACCTACCAAGAAGCTTGCCCTTCGAACTAGCAAGTATCCCATTCCGGAAGGGTACCCAACAATATTTTGGAATGAACCGAGTACGAAGTCGGGTTGGTGTTGCGATAGATTAAGAGTTCCCGTTGGGAGCAATGTCGACGCATCCACAAGTACATGCCATCCGGAAGTTTGTGCCTTGTTGACCAATTGCATTGAGTGGCGGATCCCAGTGATGCTCGATTGCGCAGGGTACACAAAGAGGCTTCCAGAAGATTGAAAGATATGGCGCTTCATTAACGGTCGAAGAGTTGCGTTCGATAGAGAGAGGTCGGTCTCTTCGAGGGGAGCCAAAATAGGCCTCCCGCCAGCTTTAACAGATGCCGCAGTTAACTGAAGACGATGAAAGCAGAAGACATGTGTCAGTCTCAATTTCCGTTGATTTTGCTGGAGGTTGACAAATTTTGAATTCACGAAAAATTGGCTTATGAGGAAGAAGGGAACTGAAGGGATGCAGTACCTGATTGACGGCGTCGTGATTATCCTGAGCAACCAAAATCGGACTGCCTTTTCGGAATGGGTAGGCATTTGCAACTAGACGAAAAGAAGCCTTGAGACCGGTCGTGAAAACGACGGTGTACTCGGTGCTATCCGTATGAAACATTTCCAGAAGCCGTACTTGCGCCATGGACGCATAATCAGCAGAGGAGCTGGATTTTCCTACGAACATATGACCTTGTGCCATGACAATTTTCATGTGCTCTTCCATCTGCAATCACCGCAGAGAAAATAACGGAATCAAAATTGAGACCCCGCAACCCATCCCTTGTCATAGGAAAATGATCTGATGCATCCGCAACAAGAAAATCTTTGAGTGAATTACCTGAAAACGAGAAGAAAGGGCCAAGCTTGCATAGTCCATGTACACATGCCTGTGGAGGGACAGCTTCGGATACTGATCCCTACGGACATTCTCCAGAGACAAGGTCTCGAAGTAATCGGTGTTAGCTTGCAGGAACTTCTCCTCTGCATCGGCGTACTCAGCGGATCCTTCGCTATCATCTTCTCCCTCGGATGCATAGAAAACAGAGGATGTTGACCTGTCAATGTGCTCTTCATCATCTGAGATAGATTCAGTAGTCCAGCTCCTGCTAGAATTGTCACGTCTGCTGAAAGTTGACTCAGTCGACGTTACAGTCCTATTGCTATCACAGTTCTGAGGTCTTAACCTCAAAACCGGCTCACCGCTCTTCCTCCTGCTGTCGCCATTGGAGTGGTAAGCGTTCGCAACTTCATCCGCCCAGCTTTTCCTGACCAGGTTCTGAGGCTGCTCCTCGATAAACTCTACGCTCTTCCTGCTGACGGTGACCACAGGGCACTTCGGAGACGATTTACCATGCCCGTCAACCGCAACCGGGAGCTGGCAAGCGTCGATGGTATTACTGCTGCGCTGAAGCCTCTCCATGGGAGACGTGGCACCTGTTATGACAGGAAACAACCCCTCCGCAGAGACGGCCTCGGAATCTGCAATTAGGCCAGGATCCTTGCCTCTCAACGTACTCTTCGTCACATTTCCCTTACCACTGCTGATGTACATAGGAATCCAGTTTCCTCCATTGTGTTCAACGCCCTCCGACTGAAAATCCCAAATCGCCACGCAATGTAAGATATCTCTCTGTAACCGACCGCTGGACAGAGCCAATCCCGAAATTGCTGAAACCTCTTCATAAACAGCTTCCCTATCGATGTGGAACTAACCTACAACTTCACATTCCACAAACCAATGCAAGTTCACTACGTACCTGGGCAGGAGCGCGCAACCCGGACCGAAGTTTGTTGAACTTGTTGAACATGATTTGAGCTTCGTCTATCTGAGCCGGGCCTCAAATCTCTTCTCCAAATGCACACATCTGCTTCCAATTACTAATCAGAACACCCACACCTACAACCTGTATCCAAACTCTCCTGTGCAAAATTTGCCCCAAATGGTAGAAACAGCAACAACCAGAAGTTCAGCGATTCAGCTAACAGCGCATTCCCTGTCCCTGACCTCCAAAGAAAATTTTCCTCCACACACGTCTGTACCCGCATACACGTCGAAGGTGACTACTCAGGGAAACGAACAAGCTCCGAAGCACAAGTGAACAGTGAGTTTGCAAATACGCAAACTTAAACTGGAGAAGGAAGAATTTGAGCGTGGAAGAAGGGGACAGAAAGATGAGGAGTGTCAATCAGATGAGGAGTGTCAATCAGATGAGGAGCGCAGAGAGGGAGGGGAGTTGATGGCGTACAGCTAGAAAACGAATTACCGAGAAGTGGGGCTGCGCTCTCTTAACTCCCACACGTCCGAACGGATCATCGACCATTTCTGAGATGTGCCTTAAATCGCATTTACCATGAAGCTTTTACTCACTCACCGAAATGTAAAGCATTCGAAACCACCACTCCCAACAAGCATCTAATTCTACACCGATTTCGCAGAACAGGTCACCCAGCTCTCACTCTGACCTTTTACTTCATCCGTCCATCATTCAAACGTGTTGACACACGTAGAGGTTGGATAGCTGCATCAGATTATGTAAGCAGCTCACTGACTGGCAACTAATTGTTGAGAGTTCCTGAAGTGTTAGGAGAAGGGGTGCAGGCTTGGGGGTTTTTTAAAACAAAATCATTTATAGGAAATTAAACTGTGTTAAAGGTTTAGGGTTTATTAAAATGTTGTGATGCGAGAAGACATTTGGATTTTATGTTCATCCAGAACCAAGTACCAGCTGGGAACCTATTCCCCTACAGCCATTCTACATTGGTATTTCTTTCTAGTTTCAAGCATGAGTTCCCATCCTGTAAACTACCCTCTGTGTCTGCACATTTTATTTCTGTGGAAAAGATCACGTATTGAAGGGGACCTGAATTAGCACAAAAACAGGAGCCAGATTTATGACCTTATTACAGGACTCACAGAAGCAGATTCCCTATTGGTATTGAAAGTTCATGCATGTCGAAACGAAACCAACCAACGGCCACGCGGTACACAGGCTCGGGTGTTTAATGCCATGCGTCCGCGGGGGCTGTGGCTGTGGCACCCTGTAACCGACCCCCACGCCCTCTGATTTACTCCTTCCTTTTACACTTTCTGGCCTAAGTTTCCTAATGCCCATCACTGCCCTCTCTTCATCAGCTGCTCATCTGCCCAACATCAACAACATAATTATATTAACATTAGACGCTGCCCGAAAACACTGGCCTGTGGGAGAGACCAGATGCATGGAGCTGGTGTGACAGGTGCTGCTGTGGTTGCCGAGTCCCAACCTTTTTGGGGCAGTTTGCCTGAAGTTTGGTGAGCCTTCATGAAGCATTTAGTGAACCTTCGTAGGCTTCTTTTTGGGGAGGCCTTCACACCTTATTGGCCACCCGGCCATCCACACTTCGTTTGCTGAGAAGAAGCTCGACATTTCTAATCCAAAACTCCAACTTCCGGGTGACTTTTGAGCCCCGTCTGCTTCCCTTCCCTACAAAATAAGCCAATAACTGGGCTCAACGCGGCTGCGTCATGATCTTGGCGAACGGGGCTATGAAGGCTTTAGGGTTTAAGGACTGCCAAATGAGCCTCAACTCCGTCAGCTAAACTGCCCAGCTGGCTAGTTACTTGGGGCATTCACCTGGTCTCGGCTGATAAAATGTCCAGAAGCTAGCTTGGGTTCCAACTTGGGTTCCAACTTGCTGAAGCTGTTGGGAGCTGCTGTGGGTGTCATTAATGAGGGGTCGAGGTGGTGGGGTCATTGTTTGAATAATGGATCTCGCCCTACTTCTCACTTCCAACGGCCTGGATGGAGATGTATGGTACTTCCCTCTTTGTCGTCGGCACATTCTCTACCCCATTGTAGAGACCCTTCCCAGCTGCCAGCCTTCTCTTCCATCGCTACCAGGGATACCCAGTGTTTCATAAATTCCACCTTCATCTGCTCCACCATCAGAGGAATTTACTGCTCGCCATTATTTCCCTAATGTCTTAAGGTTTCACCGTTGAAAGCAAATATTTCTGAAGGAGACAAAAGGTTGTGATCAAGTTTAAACCATTAGAGCATTTACCACATTCCAAATTGTTAAGCCTATCGCATTTTCTTTCTTCCTGTCTTTGCTTGATCAAATGAGGTTGCAGTTGGATTGAAAGAAGCTGTCCATAATGTGCAGAGCATTCTCGAGATTGTGTTTTGACTTCTGAAAGTCTCAAAGCAAACCACCAAGTCCACCTCAACTTGTGCGGAGATGAGGAGCGATGACATGGCACAATTTATGGGGGGCAGGCAAAAGTGTCCTACAAATCTTAGAATTTAACAGAGATTGAGGCTAATAATCAGGGATTTGTACCAGGTTTGAACATGAGTACAGTCGAGGCCATCTTTCCTGGATGTTGCAACCCCCCAATTTTTTTTCAAAAAAAAGAACACTAGAAGATGAAGGAGAAGAAAGAAAAGAAAGGAGAGAATGGTGCATATGATGTGTTTGGTAAATATCTGCAGAATATCACCCAGTGACTGCAGATTGTTTTTAAATAGTTGCAGAGTGTTCGCTGTGCCTCGTTCCAATGAACTGTGTCTAGTGCAGCCTTAAGAGACTGTGTGTGTATGTCTGTGTGTATACATGCACACACACCTTTTGAAACAATCGCACTCGTAGCACTGTGGACAAAGTATACACATCATTCTTTGTCTTTGGTTACAATTGCATACAGCTGCAAAGTTTCCAGAACATAGAGGAAGGCAAGCTCCACCACAGCCTTCCACAGAAGACGATCGATGCTGATATAGTTGAGGAAAGAAAAAAACTAGGTTCTCGCAAGTGCTTGCTCTTGCTCTCTTCCAGTCAATATCTGTCCTTGTTTGAGATAGAAAAAGCTGGTTATTGTATCACGGTGGCTTCTTTTTCATTATGCATTATACCGGTGTGACCCATGAGGATCGAACCAAACATGCAGGGATAATTTAAGCGAAATGTGCTTTGCTCCAGGAAATTATGGGAGTAAATAATCCAACTCGAAAAGATATAATAAAAAAAGAACCTGTTTTGACGTGGTCAAGGCTCACGAATAGTACAAACTTTACAACTCTTTCAGCGAAGTAGATTGAAAAGCGATGTGATGAAAAATCGGAACTCAGCCACCTAAGGTTCCAGGAATCCGATGGATCCAAAAAAAATGGTTTGTTTTTTTAGAACCGTGTTAAAGGAAGTCCTCTCGATCTGCGAGATCCCAATACACAGCAGGAATTAGGATGTGGTGAGCTCCGCTTGTCTGGATCACAGTGTCTACCTCACTCAGCATTTCAACTCTCGCAGCTCAGCTTTTGGCGAAGAGGGGTTTTAATGGTGATTACTAGATTGCTAAGATCGGTGATGCGGACCAGAGCGATGCTGAGCATATAATTACTTAATTAAATTAAGTAATTACATAACAAAAATATAAGTATTATAAGATTAAAGTTTTTTTACTTTTTATCTTTTATAATAATCATATCTATTACAAAATATATATAATTTTTATAATCTAAATACATATTTAGACATTAAAATGAATTTAAAGTAAACTCTAAGTGAACATTATCTAAATTTTAATTATTAAGATTTTTTCTTTTTTATCATAAATCATAGAAAAACATAATAAAAATTTTATTATTTTTATTTTTCCGAAAACTTACTTAAGAAATCAATCTCTATATTTCTTTATGTTTTTTAATACTATGCTCTAAAAATAATTCTAATCATTCCTTGTTTTGTTTTAGAAATTTTATTTTAAAATTATTTTTATTACTTACTAAATTTTTAATTTTATGGATCTAGTTGAAAGATGAATTTAGTTTCTTCTAAAATTTCTAATATTTTTTTTAATTTTTTCATAAAATGCTGTGAATTTTCTAGAATTACTTTGACAATAGACTCAAAATTAAATTGTGGAACAAATCTTACATATTTGACCATAAATCCTTGGATATTTGAAATGATAATAATCTTATAGATCAATACATATTTTAGAAGATGGTTTTGTAAATAAATACATAAAAATATAAATAAAGAATAATATTTTATTATTACTAGATATTATTTTATACATAGTTTCTTAAAGTTTAGAAACGATTTGGTTACTTTTATATTATCTCAAATTTAGATTGTTCTTGTATTGTAGAAAAAAGGATCATCGAATTCTTCTATTATTAATTTTCTAATTAGTTATTCAATTGAAAAAAGATATGAATATAAATGATATTTATATATAAAATAAAAATAATTAGTATAATTATTTCATATACAATATTTTTGGTCTTTTGATAGTGTAAAAAAAAGCTTGAATGATTTCTCCTTAAAGTATTACACTATAATTAAAGTACTTTTTTAAATATCTTTTCTTTTGCTAGTTCATTGAAAATTACAAAATAATTTCACCGATAAATTATTTATATATAATTTTTTCTTGTATTATTTTTTTCTTACTTAGATTTGGATTTTTTTAATATCAACTCAATCAAAGTTCTCTAATATATAGCATTTTATCTTTCAAATCTATTATGTAGTCTACTACATTAATTTTATTTTATTTTATTATTTTTGGTCTTATTTCAATTTTATTTCAAATTTTAATATTATATTTTTTATCAATTAGATGGATAAATTATCTTTGCTTGATCAATATTTAAAAAAATAAAGAAATAAATAAATAAATTAGGTTTCTATGTTTATTAAAGTTTTTTTGATAACTATCTACAATTATTTCTTGGATTGTCTTCATTCATGAATGTCGATTTTGTGGTATGCTATGTGATTATTTATAATATTATCATTATATATATATATATATATATATATATATTTATAAAAATATATTATAATTTTATTTTTCTTAAAAATAGCAAATAGATAGTAATATTTTGTTTTATAATTCGTTTTAAATCAACAAATTATTAAAAGGTTTTTATAATTTATAAAGATGTTTTTATATTTATGTTTATTTAATCATCAGTTTTATACATTTTAAAAATCTCGAAATTAAGAGATATATATATATATATATATATATATATATATAATTATCTTAATATTATTAAAATTAGAATTTTAATGGAACTCATGTATATATATGTAACAAAATAAATAGATATAATGATGAGATTTAATTGAAATTCAAGATCAAAATTTAAGTTCTACATAAATAGAATATATATTTAATTTTTATATGATTTATTTTTCCAAAATATTTGAAATATCATTTTTAATATAACAAATATTTTTAAATATTATAGTTCTATTTGATTCATTTCTTAATATTTTTTAAATTAAAAAGCTTAAATTGTAAGCTACACAAAAGAGAATTTATTTACAATAAGAAAACACTAGTTTAATTTCTTAAATGTAATATATTTGTAGAAATCCCATCAT